CTCCCCCACCAACACCAACACTGCATACACCAGGCAAGACAACACGTGCAGACACCCGACATATTTAGCTGCAGTCCCATGACCTCTCATATTCCTTCCTCTCCCCGTCCCCAGAAACAAGCACTGGACACGTCAAACTACACAATTCATCCTCGCGCCGTCTGCCCCTTCACCATGGCAACCTTGGCCGCTTCCGCGACAGCCCTTCTGGCCATTCTCCACATGTACATCATGGTGCTCGAAATGTTCCTCTGGACGACGCCTCGCGGCCGCCGAGCATTCCGGCTCAGCCCCGAATTCGCCGAGCAAACCAAGGCGCTGGCCGCCAACCAGGGCCTGTACAATGGGCTCCTCGCCGCCGGTCTCGCGTGGGGGCTGCTTCACCCCGTGCACGAGTTCGCCGTGCAGATCCGGCTCTTCTTCAGCGTTGCCGTCGTCGTCGCCGGCATGTACGGGGGCGCCACGGCGTCGAGAAAGATATGGCTGGTCCAGATGCTCCCTGGCCTTGTGTCGTCCGTCTTGGTGTACGCGAACCTCTGACGGCGAGACCATCTGATCCGGCGCCGATGAAGCCGACAGCCTCGGTGTAACCGGGGTCAACTGTCAATTGACTGGGAGTTCAAAGTTTGGAGGTGCATGTGCCTGGCGGACGGCGGATCGTGGGTGTTGGTTGGCTCTATTGACTCTACAAGACGGCACGGCGTCATTCAATTCCCGGCACGTGGCAAAGCCTTGTTTGGCTTGGGCCTTGTCTTGTCAAACGAAGCGCAATTGTATAATGACTATATTGATGCACTACATTCAATGTTGGTATTGATGTCTTGGGCCCTAGTTCTGATGTCTGATGCGCCCACGTCTCAAGTGCTCCCACCTACACATCAACATCAATTGATGTACCCAATGTCGGCGTCCAGCGGAACCCTGGAGATGCATGTTGAATGCCCCCCCAGGCCTGTTGTGTCGGGCTGAACCCGGTGTGACTTTGGTTCGCACTCTCGCCTAGACTGAGCGCTTCGTGTCCTGCGCAGCTTTCTGGGCTTCTTTAATCTCGGAAACACGCGTGTTGGTAATACATTTCTTAAGCTCAGCTGGCTTAGTCCTGTTTTGCTGTGCACACTGTTCTTTCAAGGCCAAACAGTCCTTTTCCTCCAGGTAGTAGCCTAAACCGCCGACTACAACCAGCTGATGTTTAGGGCAGAGCCCTGTCGACATCTCGTCCTTGCTCTGCATGCTCGCGGGAGCTGCAGTTGGTGTGGCGATGCAGGCGGTAGCAAAAGCAGCGACGAGGACAAGTGGATACTGCATTGTGATGACGGGGTGGCTTTTATCGTTTAATGATGATTGACTTGAGATGGAGATGATGGACGGCTTTTGCTGAGAAGCTATCAAGATTTTGCTGCGGGTTGGATTGGGGATTCAACTCGGAGCGAATACAAGATGAAGGCTTGGTATTTATCCAATTTTGACCTGCTGTGATCACAACCATCTTGCCAGGGCAAAATGCTGCCTGTTACGCATCATGCTAGGTGTGCATGATTGCACATATTAAATGACTAACAGAATTGATAGAACCGACCAATTCCAGCCCTCAGATAGATTATTATATTCATGCCAGGGTTGGTGCTCCGTACATGAGCGAATAACAGGCCATCTCCCAAAACATTCCTACTGCTACTCCGTATAAAAGGGTATAATGCCAAGGAGTCCATTCAAGTACCTCGAGCCATAATGCTTTAAATCATAAATTGACTATTCATGCCCTATCTCGTGATGCATCGCAAGAATAAAGTAGGATTACCAAAAAGTCACTCCACCAGACGGGCATATATCCTACCTGTGCCACCTTTTCAGAGTCTGCTTCTTGGGAGCTGTACATGCATACGGCAAAACGGGACCAACTCACAGCCCAAATCCACGCTTCTTCGCTCAAGACCTCCTGCAGCTCAGCCCATGTTTCCACCGACCTGCTGAATGAGCGTTCAGGGCCGCCGAAAAAAAAAAGGGCAGCGTGTAATAACGCCATGTCGGGACATCATATCATTGCATCTTGGCCTTGCCCCGTGGATACTCGTACCCGTTATTATCAACAAGGAATGACAGAATAACATCATATTAAACTTCACATGGGCAATAGTCGATATCTCTTGTACCGTCATCTGAAAGCTACCGTCCCCAATAAATAGCATCGTCCGTGGTTGCTTGGGCCGCTCGGAGCATGATTTGCACCGACTGGGCAGAATAGATTGTGAATGAGCCAGCAATGGCAAGGTTGGCACCAGGCTGCGACTTGGACGCACAGAAGAATCTGCTCGATGAGCTCAGCCTCGTGGGTGACGTTGACTTGATGGACTACGGCACAGACATTGCTCCGAGTCGTCAGCCGTGGGTGGCATGGCCGCGGATACCCGCTCCAAAGTCGACAGGTAGCTTACCTCAAAAAGTAGTGCAACTGGACGAGCCAAGATGGCCGGGGCTGGATACCTGTGAAGCTTCGGCATCGGAGCTGTTGGTGATTCCGGCTGCTCTCTAGCGACTGGAATCCGATGTATACGTTGCCTTATATTTGTTGGGAGCATGGTTGTGGAACGCCACTGTAAGCTCACCGATCCCCTTCATGGCAGCTCGGACAAGGAGGGGCAAGAGCGCATTTCCTCATTTTTTTAAACGGTCCGGATCGACAGGTACAACTGGTCGCCTGGTTTTTCCTGCGGCAGCGTGGATATACTGGCCGCGAGTGGTCGCAGGCCAGGAGCCGCCTGTGCGGTGGCATTGTCCTTGGATCCGCCTCTTCCTAATATTCTGCCTACAGCGGTGCAGACATGAGTCCATGGGCCATGATGAGGGTTGGTGGAGCGGCGCGTCACTCCGAATACAACTTACAAGAAGCCGGCGCCATCTTTCGGCGTGACGGACGTGGCTCCGACTGCAGTCCGGGGACACCCCGGCAGGGGCTCTTGCATGAGAACATGAATACTTGACCGGGCTAAACCTGACCTGGCCCTTCATGTTCCGGCTCTCGGTAAATTCCGATCATTGATGCCATGTTGGCCCTGCGCATCTGGCCTTCCCCACTGTCGTCCCGTCTCCATCGACGAAGCGAATGCGAGTGCGAGGTTGACGTAAGCTTCCAACCGCTGAGACGGGTGCTCGGAGAGATTGTCAAAGTCCTAAATCTGAAGCACTTGAACAAGAAGAAAACACAACACAACAACCTGCGGAGCACAGTTCGGCCAAATGGCCCAACGCAACGCGTGTCAAGAGTAACACGCTCGGTGGAGTATGCTTGGTCTACGTTGTTGGCATGGCAGGCAGCATTTCTCTCGGGAATTTATATAAAACCTGATTGGTATCCGGTGTCCTCGACGCAGACGATGAAATAAAGGCACACGCCCCTTGACTGCCATTCTACTCCCACTCCCTCACGCGCAGCTGCATCATGTCCACCAACTTTACAGGTCGACTCTCGCCCTCAGATGGGCCCCATCAATTCGGTCCGAAGAGCATTTACTCGGTGAGTTACTCCGCAGACTCCACGACTTTCCCGAAGTCGTGTAGGAGGTCACTTGCTGATTCGATGGCAGAAATATGTTTTGCGTGTTTCACGCCTACATGGCGTTGTGAAATATGCCCTTTTCCAACTCGTCATTTCCCTTCTTGTGCCGAGCAAGTATGCCGTCATACCTTGCGCCATAGTCATTCTTTGCTTCACTGCAAATATAATCATCCACGCGACTACACCATGTACCGGCGTCAACCCCTTCATGGAGAATGTTGTCTTGGGCCGCACCACGAGCCAAGTACCCTTCTCAGACGGCAGTTTCGGATCCGAGCCGGCCGCGCAGGGCCTCGTCGTCTTTAACCTGGGCATCCAGTATAACCATCCCCTAGGGCCCCTTTGCCCGCTGGGAATGGAGATTGCCGAGCGCTTTCAAAAGATGAACAAGGACATGCTCCGGCGACGTGAGGAGCTGGGCCTTTTGAGCGTCAACTATTGGAAGGGCGCCACCGCCGACAGTGAAAACATGGCAGTGATTACCTACTACTTTCGCAATGTGGAAAGCATCCATCGCTTTGCGCATGAGCCGTTGCACCGGGCCACGTGGGATTGGTACAAGTCCCACAACCCGACTCACATTGGCATCTATCATGAGACCTTTATCGTACCAGAAAAATCCTATGAGTCGATATACGAGAACTGCAGCCCCATCGGCTTGGGAAGAGGATCTGTCAAGTCTGTTCATGGCAAGTCGGGCAACAGTTGGGTAAACACTCTGGTCAGCGCCGACACCCCGGCCCTCAAGTCACAGACTGCCAGGTTGGCTGGCTCTCTCCGGAAAACCGCTTGAAAGCCTTGCTGGCACTTGCTAGAGTTGGTTGGTTTCGTTGCCGAGTTGCTGCAACCACAACCTGGGCAGCGAGTATGTCATGCTAGCAGAGGAAGCTTCCCGCAGGCCGTAAACCGCTGTTTCTAGATTCAGATGCTCGACATGAGCTGCGGTAACGTGATGAGAGTCGTATTATGGCTATTATTTGGGAAGATTCGCTGTAAGCACAGTCGCCGAGTTGAGAACAGCTCGCGTTGTGCCTTGTACCATTTATTACTTCATCTGTCCTCGGCCAACTTGAACCGGTCATACCAGAGGCAAGCACACGGGAGATGAATTGCCTTTTTTTAAAAAAAAAAGCCAAAAAAAAAAAAAAAACAAGAAACAAAAAACAAATGATAATAATAAAAAGAGCCACGGCATTTACCAAGAGCGGGATTACTGTTTCCCGCCCCGAAAGCCTTTGCCACTCCCGCACGAATTTGTCCGACCGCTTCAGTGTTGCGCCTTACCCACAATTCGATTGTGTCATCAGACCGCAGCCTCGGCCGTCAACATGGTCTTGACTGTATAAGACCAGACGCAAAACCAAGTGTTTGTGCCATCGCCTGTCCCTGTTCTGCGTTGTCACTCTTCATCCATCTGTACAAGCCGTCATTCTCTCCTCCCACGACAATGCCTCGACCGATAGAGCCCTCTCTGCGAGGGAATGTGCAATATCAACGGCTGCAAGCATCCATTAAACTCTTTGGCGCCATGCTGCTGGTCTTCTTTACCGTGGCTTTCACTGCAGCCGTCCTGCGACTACCGTTGCCGAGGGTCTTGGAATTGCTTACCCGCTGGGGACCGGGCGGCGCGGAACAGTACGAAGAAATGATTTCCATCATCTACATCGTTTGGGGCTACTTTCTCCTTCGGGCGGCCGACAGTCCTTTTGACCACGAACTCTTTCTCGACTTTTCTCTTCACGCCAACGTGGCTCACTTTTCGCTCATGACTGCCATGGCAGTGTTGAAGCTTAAACTTTTATATATATTATTTTAAAGGATTTTAATATAAATATAAACCGGGTTCCATAAGAAATAATAGCGGCACAGGGCAGACTGGACAAAATGAGCACGAAGCCGCCCTGCATGTCGCGGCCCTTTACTCCGTCATCTATACAAAGGCGCGATTTGCTGCAGCATTGCCGGAGAGCTGCTTGGGGGGCTCGCAAGCACTATTTTCTGAGGCATTATGTATTGAATACTTGACTGCTTCGAGTCTGGATAGGCAAGCGAGTACTCCCCGTATCGTGAAGCAAGTTACGGCTTCTCTAAATATATCTATTTCCCTCTCGAGCCTGTACTATTCGACCGTATAATATATCAAAAGTATTATATTGCTTGGCGTTGTTGGCATAAGGGTACTAACTGTTGTATCGCGGCATTTTATTTCGTACCAGTTTAACTTATCAGAAATATTCTTAACACGATAAATACCGTGTTTATCGCTATTTTTTAGTTGTTATTTAGATAATTCTTATTTCGTATAATTAGCGCCCGGGGCGGTATTACGCTCGATCTGTCGCGTCTATAATAATCTACACTAAAACTCGTAGTCGTAGTATATTACAAGCTCTATATATACTGCCGTATAAAGTCTAAATGCTTGTCTACTCGAGTATAATAGCCGTGCGCATCAGGCTTTGCACAAAGGCGGCTATGCGTAACAATACCAACTAAAATTCTAGTCTCTGTATTCTAAAAGAAGCTAAGTTAATAATAATTCTTATAACGTAATATATCCACGACTACTAGTTACGTCAGGAAGCTGAAAAAGGATCGATCTTAGTAAACTACTAATAGCAGAGATAGTAGCGGATAGTCTTATGTAAGCCCTTAGTAGTCAACTATTTAAGGCCTTTGTTAAGCGACTTAGCCTGGTAAATATAAAAGAGAAACTAAGTTAACAGAAACTCGAAGAAATAGATACTAAGACTCTGTAAACTATATTTAAACTACTTAAATTATAATAATTCTTAATAGTATAAGCCTGGTAGCTAGGACTTAAAAGTTAGATTTTTTTAAATAAGGCTACTTCTATTAATTAAATAAGCAAACTTAATATAATTAC